ACAGGTATACATTAGGTACCTATTCGGTAGAGATACGCTTATTTGACAACCACGGCGTCTTTGGTGTAAGTGACTAACGGTCTAGAACTTCCCGATTCGTCTCTTAAGTCAATAAATTGAGTTTTCATTTTCACATATCAATCGAAAGGAAGGTACGAGTCAGAAAAGCCTCAATAGGCCCTGGCTAGAGTCTGCTGAGCTGTTATTCGACCCATATTTCCGCTTCGATATACATTCATATACATTCATCTTTCTTTTCGTTAATTGACTCTTCCCTGACAACTCCCTCCTCGCCCTAGAAGCGAATTGCGCTAACATATGACTACTTACTTATAGCCGTATGAGTGGTGGATGAGGTTTGATACGCACGGGTTGTACATATTTCACCATTATTTTCGAGTTGGGTTGAGTTGAGTTGAGTTTCGCAACGGCAAGGGATTATTACTTCTTTTCAAAAGGGTGAATAAGAAAAGAGTCTGCTCGGCCAACTAACTGGTTGCTTGTCAAGCCCTACCACGGTTACTAGCAGCTCATCCAATTGTCGTCACACCAAGCACGATATCGCCAATTGCGCGAAAATCAAATCGTTGCAGACGCAAGCGGATTGTATTCCTTTGACACAACACAAGACAACATAACAACACCCAGTCAGCCACAATGTTCGGAGTTACACCACACGCGGTACCACACATAGCACCGCCAGCACCCCCCAAGACCACAAATGTCCGAACTAAGAGCAGGACCTCAAGTCTTGTTCCTTTCAGAGATGACTCTAAATTGGTAGCGTTCCGGTACGACCAAACCGTCCAGGCAGAGCCACCTATACCAATACCACCACCTCGATCTTCTCGCCGCCCACCACCACATCCTATTTCGTGCAATACAGCTCGTATTCCCATAGTCATACCGCCTCCACGTCCTGCCCCTCCTACCGAACAGCACCCCGCGCTGAGAACTATCAGCAGCCCACGGACAATCGTGGATGTGAGAAAGCGGGATTCCTGTCATTCGCCGACTACCCCTTCGAGCTCGTGGACTATTCGCGAGGATAGCGAGACGGACGACGAAGATCCTTTTACCTACGAAAATGTTAAGAAATTTGGCGAAATTAGACCTCTCCAATTAACAACTCGTTCCGCATCGCCTTCTCTATATTCACGTCAAGAGGGACGAGTAAGCGAATCCAACAGCAGGGCTAGCGCTCCTTCACCAGCTCTTTCGGACGGCGATACTGTTTCACCAACATCTCCAAACACGCCACCTTCTAACTTCTCAAAAAGGTTTGCAAGAAGCTTTAGTTTGCGATCTAACTCATCCAAATCGTCGTTTTCTAAGATGAGGCGATTACGGAAGAAATTAGGAAATGATGGGGTACCGTGCGCTACCACTACCACTACCACTACCGCTACCACTGAGAACCCCGGCTACCCACTAAACGGGCAGGACGAATCGGCGCCTAAATCCCCTAGCGGCAGATTGTCATCAGTACATGACCCCCATGATTCTCCAGTTATTTCAACCACTATCCCCACCGAGAGTTTGTTAGAGGATGATTTTATGACCCAGCTGTCCTTCTCTAAGCGTGGCAGCCTCATTTTTGGCGGCAAGCACCCGCGCAAATCCAACAGGAATTCGCATAAGATGGCCGAACAACACGGCATCATCAATAATAATGGAACCGCCGGCGCCGATCGACCAAGAGAACCACGCGCTTTTTCTTTAGTACCGACGCGCGAAAAGGTTCCCGATGCCGCTGTCGCTGTCGGCGCGAGCGCTAATGAACCCGCCAAATTCTCAGGGGCTCCCGACGACGCCTTGACCAGCACACCCATCACACCCAGCACACCGCCCACACCGCGCCGGCTACCTCCTAGTGTTCGGGTTATATCTGCTGAGGCGGAGAAGGAATCTCAAAAGGTGAGATCGCTCTATGAATCCGGGGAAGGCGTCAAGTGGGAAGAGGGCGCGAGACACTCGTCCATTGATGAGCGTAACCAGCCCTCAGCAGAAAACCCGTCAGAAGAGAATGCGAATGATGCGTACGGTTTCCTTATATATCCAACTTCTTTGCCTTTGATAATGCTGACAAGTCGCTTCTCTTATAGGTCAAACGAAAACGACCAGGCTGGACACCCTACTCCAATCTCGGCTTCTACTTCGTCGCCACAAGATAACGATGCAAGGAGGCGCGAGTATGAGTTGGCGGGAGGAATCGAGGATTGGGAAGGGGTACAGGTTGAAGATGTCGATCGTTATGGTTTCATTTCAATTCAACAGCCGCAAGATTCACGGCCGTCGTCGCCAACGGGAACCACCACGTCTGTCCATTTTTCGATGCGCAAACAGCGAAATGTTCTGGTTCGGAAAGAACTGGCATCACATTCGTTAAGAGTTAGAAGCGGCCCTAGTAGAAAGATGTCAACACGCTCTTTGAAATCACAGGCGTCGGAATTATCTACGGCGTCGCATCGTTCCGCTCTTTCGACTACCATCCGCCACGCCACGAATTTATTGCCGCATAACAGGGACAGGAGATTGCTAGACGAAGCTGGGGATATCCTTGCAACGCCCCCAGGCTTATCGCATATGACCGAAGATGGGTCGGCTGAGAGAAAGCTAGCCGAGTCGAAGCTGAAGGAGACGCGGCGCGCTGAGAAGTGGTTGAGGATGGCTACAGTAATTAAAACAGGCGAGGACGGCCAAGGTATGGTGTTTGATTTTGATCAGAACCACCCGAAGCTAGTCAAACGTGTTTGGAAGGGTATCCCTGATTGTTGGCGAGCGGCAGCTTGGTATTCGTTCCTCTCTACCGCTGCCAAGTCTAGCAGCGAACCGTATGCTACGGAGGAGGAAATCAAGGCTGATTACCACCGGCTCGCCGAGGAACCATCGCCTGACGATGGGCAAATCGATTTGGACGTGCCCAGAACAATTAATCAACATATCATGTTCAGACGGAGATACCGTGGTGGCCAGCGATTGCTTTTCCGAGTCCTGCATGCCTTGTCCCTTTATTATCCCGATACGGGCTACGTTCAGGGCATGGCTCCGCTGGCGGCAACTTTCCTGAGCTACTTCGACGAGGAGATGTGCTTCGTAATGCTGGTGCGGCTCTGGAAGTATCGTGGTCTCAATCGAATGTATGGTTCTGGATTCGTGGCGCTCATAGAGGCTCTGAAAGATTTCGAAAACGATTGGTTGGCTAGTAGAGACGTCGCTGCGAAACTTGTAGGTTCATAAATTGCTCCTATCTGACTTGATCTTGGCTGACATTTTTACTAGACTGAGCTTTGTATTGACCCGACGGCGTATGCCACCAAGTGGTATCTGACCCTCTTCAACTTATCGATACCATTTCCCGTTCAGCTCCGCGTATGGGACGCATTCATCCTACTCGGCTCTTCGCCAGAGCCGACGGAGGGCTCCACGTCACCGGATAAGGTTGCCTCGGAACCGTCGTCTAAGGGACTCGAGGTTCTCCACGCAACCAGTCTCGCTATTATTGACACGCTCCGGCCAACGCTGCTGGATTCCGACTTTGAAAACGCTATGAAGTCTCTTACTTCCTGGGTCCCTATTAAGGATGAGCAAGGATTTATGGACCTCGTTCAACTAGAGTATAGACGGCACGAGAGTAAACAGAAGGCCTAGGAGGCTGGATCGCCTCTCTAATGCACCACCTAACTAGGATCCGAAGTTCTTCACAGACTCGTAAACCTGCCTACGGCACTACATGCCATTTTTCTTTAAACTCGCGCTGGGATGGGACTTTCCGGTGAGGGGTGAGGGGAGAGGGATTCGAAGGGAATCCGTGATACCGGTTTGCAGGCCAACCGCTACGTCGGCTATCTAATTTACAAAAACCTACATCGCCTAGGCCGCGACAAGGGTCTGATTTAGGATCCGATTTCCTTTGTGCTTCGGAGGAGCGCTGGTTGTTTCGCCTTTGCCCGAGCTACGAGGCGGAAGCTCTGGAGACGCTGATGGATGGTTCTTCGCATTATACCCCCTACGCATTCGAATGGATTGTCCACGGACGGCGGAAGACCGGTTACCTACTCGGCCGGCTTATTACTATTACTACTACATTACATTATACATATTTAATACGGATACGGAGCTTCACCGTACGAACCTCGCCGAGGTCGTACTAACTATACCCCCCCTACACGAGCGTCTAGTACTCGCTTGTTCTAGACTTTGCCTATCACTCTACGATAGTATGAATTTGATACAACTACCTAATTTACCTTCACTCGATATTATTTTTGCTCTATTCAATATGTCTGACCGAAATCAGCCGTGCATGTGTTTGTATTTGAATGAGTATTGTGTTAGTGACATAAGCATGGCGTATGTATCACCAAGGCGCAGTTTGCTATGTATCAAAGGTAGTAGATACATAGTATACGCCTGCCTAGGTAGTTAAAGTTCTACAGTGGTAAGGCTGATAATCCTGGCTACCTGGTATGAGGGACACAGACATGCTGTCTTCCCCAGTCGTTCTGGTGTAACCATCAGATCTGCAACCCAAGCCTACGAGCAGCCAGGGATCTTCCTAGGCTGGAAATATAACACGATTCCACGGCACTGGATTGGATGCCCGGCTCGGCTAACTTTCACACGCTGTTGGCCGGCGGCCTTGTTTGCATCGCACAGCTATCTATATACATAGGTAGGTACGCAGTTCGGCGTCGTGGCGGTGGTCAGCTGAGGAACTGGAATGTCGTTCGATGGGGTGGTAGGTGGTAGTACATAAGAGCTCAGCCTCGATATTGAAATGAAAAGATATCAGCTGGTCGCATTGGGTAAGAATACTTGAAGACATTATTCCTTCATAAATTAGTTTGGCTTGGGGATTTGAGACCTTAATCTTAACTTTGGCTCCTTTATTTCGATTTATCTCCTGTCAGCCCTTATACACTGGCGATTATTTCGGGGGTGCTGCTTTACTCGTAAATCATCACTAACACTAATCATCATAAAAAAATACAGTAGTTATGGCTTCTCGCACCAAAGAACCGAAAAAAGACGACGACCCGCCTCCATACTCTAAACATCCTACGGACGGCGCGGCAACAGCAGCCACTGCTGCTGCTGCTACCACTCAAGCCCCCCCTCCCCCTTTCACACCTCAACCTCAACATCAGCAACAACAACCAACTCAAATCCCCCGCCAGTTCCCCCCCGCGTTCAGCATGTACATCCAACGCAAACACCACTACCACATCGGCTCGCACCAATCCGCGCCGCTCTACGCCGTGACCACCGCGCCGGGGTACTCCTCGCGGCCGGACGTGGTGCTGCACAGCGGCCCGGGGGAGCACACGCCCCCGCTGGCCGTCGTAGCGCGCACGGGCCGCGAACACGCTCTCACGGTGGCGCTGCCCGGATCATCGGCGGCGGCCGAGGAGCGCGTCGAAACGCCGGCGTTCTTTCCCCTAGGCGGCCAGACGTTTTCGTTCGTGGTGGAGACGGGGGGTGGGAGTGGGGGGAGGAGGGAAGGGTTCGAGTGGCGCCGGTCGAGGGGGGGTGCGGTGGAGGCGCTGGGGGGGTCGGGGAGTGGGTGGAAGTTGGTTAGGATGAGGACGGATGCGCCGAACGGGTTGGAGGGAGGGGGAGGGGGAGGGCAAGGGGGGATGCCTGTGGTGTTTGCGGGGGGCGCGACGGCGGGGGACGGGAGGGAGGTAGTGGCAGTGTGGGCGTGGGCGAATATGAGCCTGACGAAGAAATTGCGGTTCCGGTTTCTGGGGTCGGGGGCTAGTGGGGTGTTGGGGGAGCGGTGGGCGGTTATGGCTGTTGCGACTGCGTTGTGGGTTTGGGAGAGGGAGAGGAGGGCTAGGGAGGAGTCGGGGGGTGTGCGTTAGGGGGGGTTGGTGTTGGTGTTAGTAGGAGCTGGGGAGGGAATAGGGGTGGTGGTGGTTGGTGTTTGGGAACTTGGTGGTATACCCTATGGCATGACTACCTGCGTACATGTAGACTAATATGGATTTATTGCCCTGTCGAGTGTTTCGGTGTTGCAATGGCTTTACGTTCGAAATCAAGAGTGCTGGGAATACGAGTTTGATCGAGGTATAGGAATACTGCTCAGGATTTGTTGTAGTTGCCGACCCTGGATTTGTTTGCCCTTATACACGGGCCTCGGCTAGGGAAACATCTGATAGGTTGATATAATACGGTGTGCCGTAGATTCGTTCGTCACATTGTGATCGTATAACGAATGTTGGAACCCGTGGTCTGTCTAACGTTGGGGATTCGTCACTCTTATGGTGTGAATCTTTAATACCATGAGGAGGAAAGTTACCAACTAGCAGTCTATTTCCACGATGATCCATTTCCTTCTTAATATTTGACGGTTGAGTGCCTAAGTAAAACACGACACCGTACGAGGTAGTTTACGGGAATTGGTGTGATATAGACGGGAGACCGCATAGTATATCGAGATGTTATCAAACAAAATGCAAGCCGACGAGACTGGTAGGTACCTAGATAGTACTAATAACGGGACGGGGCGTCCCCTTTCGATATCTCTTCTTAACTATTTTCTTACTCTATCATGTGCAGATAATGCTTAACCATGCCGACACTTACAACGAGACTGCCATTTAGTAGAGCTAGCTCTACAGACGAGCCTACAGCTACCATTCACCATCGGGTCCTCCCATTGCAATCGACAACGGTGCCTGGTATGCCTACCGAAAACGATGGTATGGATATGGCCCTGGAATCAAGTGGTGCGACGTCTTCCGCTAGCTCTATTCCCATTATCTCCGAGGGCGCTCAAGCGGGCATGTCAATCAGTATGACACTATGCCTTTTGGGAGTTGTAGGCGGGTGTATCGTGCTGTACTGGTGTAAATTGAGGAAATGGAGGACTAGTGACGATGATGGCGGGGATTCGAGGCCCAGTCCTCCGGGTGACGACCCCTCGTCAGATAAACCGGAGCTCGAAGGAAGCTCTACGGCTCAGGCGAGAGGGGCGATACCGAAGGCAGAGCTTGACGTGGGAACTTCGAGGGCAGAGTTGGGTAGTTCTGAACCCGAATCACGGCATGGAACCGTCAGCCTACTCAACGGCCTCAGTTCGGATCCGGCAGGGAGTGATCCGCGACATAAGAACGCCTTTGAGGTGTCGGGGTGATATTGCTTCGTCTACACTTGGTAATGTCGTTGTCTCGACTGGAGAGCTATTTTTCTCAATACTAAGGGTTGCTTAGTAGGTGAAACCCTCCCTTTTCAAGATCAGAAGAAGGGCTAAACCCGTTCCTATGTAGGCTGGGGGTTCTTCAGAACTAGAGAGCTCGGATCTAATTGCACTTTTGATGGACTAGTTATATCTCGATCTATATATCAGGGTTAAGACAGGCTTGAAGCAGGTATCCCTCGAGCACAAGTGACTAGGTAGCTACGAAGCTAGGCGAGATTGCGTAGTTCTAGTTCTATCATGCACTATAAATACATATCAAATCCGCTGCTTCAAGGCAGATCCCACCAGCTCTCGTGCAAATCCCGCAAGTCGACCGTAGCCGGGTCCTTGATATACGGCACGATATCCACACCCAAATCCTGCTCCTTCAACGTCGACCCCACGCCGAAGTACCACGCAAGCCTGTTCCCGCTCTCGGAGAGGTACTCGTACTCCCAGTCCTCCCACCGCGGCTCGCGGTATATAATCGTCACGTGCGCCGCGCTGCCCGGCCACAGCCCGTGTATCCTGCTCCCGGGCCGCCCGCTGTTGTACCACGAGCTGCAGTTCTCCGACAGCACCGTCGTGTCGAAGAAGGCGTCCGAGTACTGCACGAAGTCGTCGGCGGCCCGCTTCGACGGCTGGATCGTCTTGATCCCTTCGCGCGCCACCTTGCGCAGCAGCTTCGCGTAGAACGCCACCTGCACCTCGACGCTGTGCGGCACCGTCCCCGACCGCCCGGACCCGTGCGGCCCGTGGATGAAGCCCAGGTTCGGGAACCCCGGGGTAGCGGCCCCGAGGTACGTGTAGGGAAACCCGTATTCGCCGTCCCGCTCCCAGAGCTTCGAGAGGTCCTTGCCGTGGGCCCAGATGCTGAAGGGCGGCACCATGTCCCTGTTTGCGCCCGTGGCGCAGAATATCGCGTCGACTTCGCGGTGGACGCCGTCGGTCGTCTCGATGCCGGTTTCCGTGAAGCGCTTTATCGGCGTCTGGATGTAGTCCACGTTGTCCTCTGTGATGGCCTCGAAGTAGTTGGGCCCGGGGGTGAGTCGTCGGCAGTGAGGTGAGAAGTCGGGGATGATTCTATCGAGGAGTTCGGGCTTCCTGGCCACGCGTTTCCTCATGAGTTCCGCGAATTCCTCGCGAGCTTTTTCGTTGAGTTCGGATCCCTTGAGCCAGCTTGAGAATCCTCGCCAGTATTTGGATTCCAGCTCCTTTCTCCATTTGACGTATTCGTTGGGATCTTTAAATGACTCCCGGAGCTCAGGCGATATGGGGATGGGTTCGATGGAAGTCGCATCACCAGCAAATGATGCTGTGACCCATGTCCTATTTCGGGCATAGTGGTCCAAGTGCTTAACATGCTTTTGAATATTGGCAGTAAGCTGTATGCCGCTTGCTCCGTTGCCGATGATTGCGACTCGTTTTCCCGCAGGATCGAAATTAGGATCCCAGTTGGAGGCATGGCGAAGAAGACCTTTGAAGTCCTTTATCCCAGGATAATCAGGCAGCTTCCAAGCGTTGAAGCGGCCGATGGCAGTCAGCACAAAGTCGAACTCCTCACTGGACGTCTCTCCCGTGCTGAGATTATGCACCTTCACGTTCCATACGGATTTCTTCTCGTCCCAGCTCAGCTCTTCGACCTTTTGGGAAAGCTTCAGATACTGGTACACATCATACTTCCGCGCCAGCCCTTGCCAGTAGGCCCTGATCTCGGGACCTTGCGCGAACTGCTCTGACCAGTTGATGTTTGGAGCAAAGCTGGTCTGGTAGACGTGCGCCGGAACGTCACATCTGACCCCTGGGTAGATGTTTTCAAACCATGTACCGCCCTGTAGCTAATTAGCGGGATTGCACATATTTCGAGTATTAATGGTAGTGGTATTGCTCACCACATCGGCATTCTTCTCGAATATAGTCAACTTCAAGTTAGGAACCTTTGGAGGAAGAATTATGCCTGCTAGCACACCTGAAAGTCCTGCGCCGACGACAGCAACTCTTAGTTGCCTGGGTTCGTCGATGTGGCGCTGTTCAAGCTTAAGTGTTGGTGTAGGATAATTGCCAAACTTCGGTTCCTCGAGTAGCGGCTCGATCTTTTCTTTCACGCTCTCAACTATAGGCACTTTTACGCCATTGGTTGGATTTTCTGAGCCGCCTTGCTCTGATGAGGATAGCGTCGATCCATTGGTACTGGCAGCTTGTTCCAAACCTTGGGTAGTCATATTGGATTGGCAAGTAACTGGATCACACTTGTACAGCGGACAGCGGAAGCAACAAAAGTCTGACCGGTCAAGTGTCAATGTCTATTTATTCCACTCATAACCGGTCAGAACCGACGACTTATATCTACGAGACTGAAGTTATCTTGAAGCACGTTATCAATCGACTAAATGTGTGTAGCCGACCTCTCACGTCTTCTATAGGCGAAGCACGCAATAGCCCCCGCGTCTTTGCACCTCCTGCACCTCCGCGATAGGACGTCCGGGTAGCAATCATGCTTGCGGCTAGAATTCTAGGCCAACTTTTATCGTCACATCAATATCGGTCAAATGCCGGAATAGGATTTCTGACGTATGAGCGGAGGGCGTTCATAGCTACTCTATTAGTTAAGTTCATTTATAATTTATAATGCCGTGAATATAATCTACATTGCGACCTCGTTCTTTTTCTGAGCGTAATATTCAAAGAGTAGTTTTTTAGGACTCACGATAGTTAACCACGGTTGAAAAATGGCTTCTTCAGAGGCTAAGAAGCAGATTCTGCTGAATGCATTTGATATGTCAACCATTGGCCATCTTTCACCGGGCCAATGGAAAGTGAGTTTTCATGTACATGTTTACGCCGAGGTATACCTATAGCTAACGATACGTCAGAATCCCGCCGACAAGTCAGCTACTAAACGCAACCTTGACTATTGGCTGGAGTTAGCAAAGCTGCTAGACAGAGGAGGGTTTAATGCCTTGTTCCTCGCGGATACGTATGGAGGCTACGACACCTACGAGGGGAGCCTCGACAATTGTATCAGAAGAGCCGCACAATGGCCCGTGACAGATCCAACTATCGTAAGTTCCTCAGTGTTGAAGCATAGTCGAAAATAAAGAGGCTAAAACTTATATTTGTTGGAATATAGCCAATCGCGGCAATGGCTGCCGTAACGAAAAATCTCTCTTTCGCCATCACTGCTTCAACCTCGTTTGAGCCTCCTTTCTTATTAGCAAAACGCTTTTCTACGTTAGACCACTTTACCGGGGGGCGATTCGGTTGGAATATCGTCACTTCCTGGAAGAAAGCTGCCTTTAAAGCCATTGGCCTCGATACCCCCATCGATCATGACGAGCGGTATCTTCAAGCTGACGAGTACTTGAAAGTACTCTACAAGTATGTCGCTACACGTAATCCTCCAAGAGGATAAAAAGACTCAAAATAAGTAATTTATAGGCTTTGGGAGGGATCGTGGGCAGACGACGCGATTTCCCCTGATCCGGAAAACGACACCTATGCCGACCCGGACAAGATTCGCACGATTAATCACAAAGGGAAGTACTTCACTCTGAACACAAAACACATCGTCGACCCGTCTCCGCAGAGAACCCCGTTTCTATTCCAGGCCGGGACTTCTCCCGCCGGCTCCGAATTCGCAGCGACGCACGCGGAAGCCATCTTCGTCTCCTCCCACTCTGCGTCCGTCCTCCGGCCCAAGATCGCCAAGATCAGGGAACTAGCTGCTTCCAAAGGTCGGGACCCGCGCTCGCTCAAGTTCTTCGCGACTTACACCCCCGTCGTCGCGCCCACCGACGAGGAGGCGCACGCGAAATACGAAGAGCTGCTAAAATACGGCTCGGTCGTCGGCGGCCTCGTCCTGGTCAGCGGCTGGACCGGGATCGACCTGTCCAAGATCCCTCTGGACCAAGAGATCACCGCGGCAGACTCGCTGGAGGCTCACAAAGTGCGCAGCATCTTGGACGCGTTCACTACTACGAGCAAAGACATCCCGAAGTGGACGCCCCGCGTGATCGCCCAGAAAGCGTCGATAGGAGGTCTCGGCCCCGTGGGTATTGGATCCCCTCAGACCGTAGCGGATGACCTGGAACGCTGGATAGAAGAAGGGGACTTGGACGGGTTCAACATCGGTTATGTGACCACTCCTGGGTCGTTCGAGGATGTAGTCGATCTTTTGATTCCGGAGCTAAGGCGGCGTGGGATTTATCCCGATCCCCTGCCTGAAGGAGAGACTCTTACTGCTCGGGAGAGGGTCTACGGGAAGGGTCAAAAGGGGCTTAGGGATGACCATGTCGGGTCTAAGTATAAGTACGATGTATACCAGGAAGAGCCACCGTATCAGGAGACGGAGACGCCCAAGGACGGGAGTAACTGAATAGACTCGTTGAGTCTTCCACCCGGGCCATCAAGGTAGGTAGCTTGTAGGGCGAAATAATAATATATTTTCAATGAGTTAGCATGTACCCAGTGATGTAGTATAACCCACCCTGATATATTCTAGACTCTAGTTAGGAAGAGGTCTCCCGACGGCGAGATACATAGTAAAATCACGAAAATTGCCCCGTTCTAAACAAATCTCTAGCGTCCGATGTGCGACTCTCCCAGACCGAATGTATACAATTGGCGCAAAGTCTAGATAGGTCTCTTCCCCGCCTTGCTCTGACGTTTCCTTCACCGGCGCGCAATAAAAACCTCGCGCGTAACCCTATATTGGTTGGAGAAACCCCGCCCCAAGCTCCATTGCGTGATCGAATCGGTCGTGTTGCGTGATCGTAGCCAAGCAACGTCGGAACGCTATGGCACACGCGCAACAACCCGGTATTGATGTGATATCGCGTCGTGGCTAGCGGCGGGTCACTCCGCCGGCCCTCGGAGACGGGATGGGTTGGGTCTTGATAATAGCCGTAAATCTAGGTATGTATGTATTGTTAAGAAATAGGTAGATCCGGGCCATTGTTGACGAATTAACTAATCAATCCTTACGTGTTGAATTAGTAAGATAGAGACATTATACGAGATGAGCAGCGACGCAAAGCCCAAGAAGAGCCTCGTGCTCAACGCCTTTGTAATGATGAGTAGGTCTAATTCGGCATGGAATTACGTTCACCGGCTTATACCACCACCTCTTAGCTAGCGGGCATCAATCGCCGGGCCTGTGGAGGCATCCAGACGACGAGTCGTGGCGCTTCAATGAAGTATCCCACTGGGTTGAATTAGCGAAGCTGCTTGAGAAGGGGAAATTTCACGGCATCTTCATTGCTGATGTCCTTGGTACGATATATATATATAGCCTTCAGTCGGTGTGATATAGACATGGCTAACTAATTTGAACGACAGGTGGCTACGATGTCTATAGGGATTCCTTAGATCCCGCAAAGATATCCGGGGCTAAATGGCCGACTAACGAACCGCTCTCTGTGATTTCCGCCATGGCCGCGGCGACCGAGAGCATCGGGTTTGGCGTCACGGCTTCGACTACGTATGAGCAACCGTATCATTTTGCCAGACGCTTGTCGACAGTTGACCATTTATCTAAAGGACGGTAAGTTTTTTTTTATCTTCAAACCATATAGCCATAGTTAATGCTAATTTCGTATAGGTTAGGTTGGAATGTCAGTTGAAATGTCCCCTAGAACTTCACATTTATTTGGACGTTGAGCTGAATCAGGGGCTTAGATTGTGACAAGCTATCTTGACTCGGCTGCGAAGAACTTGGGTTTTACAGAGCAACCCAAGGTAAGTCCACACGTCCGTCTCCTATAGTTATAAGAAACCAAAATTCTCATAAAGATTCGTCATACCTAGCATGACGATCGCTACGCACAGGCCGAGGAATACCTCAAGGTCATCTACAAGCTCTTAGAGTCATCGTGGCGAGACGATGCGGTGAAACTAGATCGCGAGTCGGGCATCTACACCCAACCAGACCTAGTACGGCCTATAAACCACCAAGGCAAGTTCTTCGCCGTACCCGGACCGCACATCTGCCAGCCGAGCCCGCAGAGGACGCCGCTGCTTCTCCAAGCGGGCACATCCCGCGCCGGAAAAGAGTTCGCGGCCCAACACGCCGAGGCCATATTCGTATCGGCTCACGCTCCGGAAGTATGCGCAAAGAACATAGCCGAAGTGCGCGAGCTAGCCAAGACCAAATACGGCCGCGACCCGACGAACATCAAGGTCTTAGCACTAGTAACGCCGATCCTGGGGCGGACAGAAGAAGAGGCTCAAGCAAAACTAGCGGACTACCGGAAATACGCCTCGCACGAGGGAGCCCTTGCTCTGTTCGGCGGCTGGACGGGCATCGACCTCGACAAGTACGGGGACGAAGAGGAATTAAGACACGTCGAGAGCAACGCCGTGCGGTAGGCATATCAAGACACCCCCCCCTTTTTTTTTTTATCTTCGTACTAACTAACTCACTTTAGATCTACCGTCGAGGGCTTCGCCAGATTCTCGCCGAAAACAGCAAAGTGGACTAAACAAACGCTAGCAGAGCACATCGCCATCGGCGGCAACGGGCCCCTATTCGTCGGGACGCCGTCGCAAGTAGCAGACGGGCTCGAGACCTGGGTTAACGAGGCCGACGTCGACGGGTTCAATTTCGTAAGTGAATATTCCATTCCCCCAAGCTACCTTAGGTATAGTACCTAAGATGGCTACTATGGCAACTACAGTACGTTTTCTCGCTCATAACGTGAAACTTTAGGCATATGCGCTCTTCCCCCAATCCTTCAAGGATATCATCGAGCTTCTAGTCCCCGAGCTCCGACGCCGAGGCTTGTTTTGGGACGACTACGCGGTGCCCGGTGGGACGTACCGGGAGAACTTCTACCAGAAGCCGGGTCAGACCGGCCCCCTTGATGAGCACGTTGCTTCCTCGTACAGGTGGAAGGCGGGTGTTCCGTCAGAGCAGCATGTGATTCAAGATTGAGCCGCGGAGGCTCATAAGCAGTGAATCATATGTCTACAATGTCAACAGGACGAGGATGTGCTAATTGGGATCACTGTCCCACTACGAGGGAACTAAAGGACTAATACGATGTACTTTCTTGCTAAGAATATTTACATGCTAGCTAGTATAAGATTTAATATCTACATTGGCATCAAGAATCTGCAACATGCCTCATCTATACGCCTCTTCCCGTAGTAATATCACCACATGCCTCAAGTAGAAAGCTACCTACCTAGGTATACAGCATCATAAATCCGCAAGGCCTCATCCAAGTCCTACAAACGATATTGACGCCAAAGGTGCCCCTTACGTACTCCAGCCGTAGACCAGCCTAACTGATCCCCATATCCGTACCAACACTTCTAACCTACTAGAAACATACCTACCCATTAAAGAAGGAGGAATATCAAATCCAAAGCCGCACGATAATAACTTCTATGTATGAGATGAGTCAACGATACATAACCAGCCCCCAAAAAGACAACGCATCAACACGCCACAGACCCAAACCAAAACCAAAACAAAATATACCAACGTCTCCTCGCCTCTCATGACCCCATTCAGACCTAATCGCGACGTCGTCGTCCAAAAGGATCCTAAAGACGTTGTCCGAGACGCCTCGCGGTGGCACAAGCAGGCTTCAGGCTTTCAGGATTCCGATTCCGATTCCTTCGTCGACTCAACCGTCCTCGCATAAACACATGGTCTTCTCGAAACGAATCCATCGCTCCCGCTCCCGCTCCCCCAAGCAGAAACAAAATTGCATGTTCATGCTCATTACAATACATTGCATTGCATACATGCGTACATACCCGCCCGCGCTGTTAGATCGTCCTAACATGACATGACATGACCCTGCCCTACTCAGCGCGTCCCGATCCGGAACACCTACCCCTTCCCGAATAGGCAGGAATGCGCAGTGATCGCCCGGCTCAGCTGAGCTGAGCGATCCAGCCGGCGGAGCTCTCCCGGAGATAGCTGACACTGCACTACACTACACCACACTCTGATGTGATGTTGGTCGTGGGGTGCGTGCGGGACAGACCCCCATCTTTCCTTCCACCCACCCGATCGTCGTTTCGTCACAGCCTCGGTGGTGGTGGCGGCATGGACGAAGAGATGGAGAATGGAAGGAGTATCATTTCATACAGCGCCTACATACTCCATACTCGTCGGGCGACAGCAGCGTTGCGTTGCGTCGTTTCGCATGTGACGTGCAGCCAGCCACCAGATCAATCCAGCCATAGCAATGGCGTCTCTTACGAATAAAAAAGAGGACGAAATCAAGCTTTGCTGAGCCTCTTCGCGGGAAAAACTGGTTATTGGCAGGGCAATACGGCGGCGCATTGTCGGCTGAAGTCGTCCCCGAACCACTCGCGGGTCCCGCGTCGTCTTATTCGCGCACGAGCTCGACGATCAGCTGGGCTCCGCAACCCGTAACGTACCTAATCTAATGTACATCTATATGTAGAGATGTCGATCTGTTTTGTTTTGTTTACATAGTCTGTCTGCCAGCCAGTCAGTTAGTCTATCAGCCCACATCGCCTCGGGTCGAGGACGGCCGAGCCAGTATAGCTAACCTACCTACCTACCTACCTTTCCGTCTTTCCATCCCCCTTCCCTCAGCGCCGCCGGAGGTGGGCAAGCGGACATACATACAGACAGACAGAGATAGACCCTAAAAGTACCGTCGCATCGGGTGCCATGCACGCGGTGTTTCATAGATATTAATCTGACATAGTATTAAGCCGCGAAAAGCTTGGCTCCATGTTTCGCGTCCAGGTTTTTTTTTTTTCCTTTCCCTTCTGCTCCCCCTAATCTGCCGCGGAGCACCGTACCGTCGAATAGGAATACGGACGATACTAGCTTGCTAGCTAGCTAGCTAGCTATCTACCTAGCTGCGCGCATGGAACGAGCGAAAAATGCAGTCAGCGTCGCAGCGCAGGTGCTTTCTCTGCGTATCTGGGACGCTGTTGCGTGGGTTCTTAATTTCTGCTAACGTTCGTACGTATGTATAGATATGTATATGTATGTGTATATGTTATATTACGTATGTACGTATGCATGGATATATACCGTAGGTATATACCTGTGTACATTATACATGTAGGTTAGGTAGGTATATATAGGGGTATAAGGGTATAAGGGTATAAGGGTATAAGGGTATAAGGGTATAAGGGTATATAAGAAGTAGGCAAGAAAGGGAAAGAGGAGGCAGGCCGCCTATACGGCCGCGTCGCGTCCAGCCCGGGCGGAGGACGACCGGCCAACCACCGCGAAGCGTTCGAACGCTGGAGAGGAGAGGCGCCCACCTACGTACATTAGGTGCTGTTGTTACTTACCCTACACCCGCGGAAAAAAAAGCGAAGCCGACTGTGCCGCGGTTTCGAACTTCCTCGGTGAGAGTTGTGGTCGCGAGCTGCTCTACCAAAGTCTGGGAAAGCTAAGCTGGGTCCTCCTCTCCACTTCGCTGCAGCGCATAATACATACCTACTACGTATGTATGCGTCAAGCAGAATAGGAAATACTACCTTGGCCCGTATCTTGGTATTGCACCTCGCGAGTCGATACACACATATCCACACATATACATACATACCTTACATAGTACATACAGATATATCTAGATAGGCTAAGATCGCGCGCAAGATTTGGGCAACTCTGCTGACGAGTCGTATTGTTTCCATCCCAGCCAAGTAAGACCTCTGCCTAATTAGAGGCAGAAGACGCAGCTTCTGTTGGTGAGAAAGTACCTAAGGTAGTTGGTCGGTTTGGGACCAAAGGCAGTCAGCACAACTGTCCCCGAAAGAGGTTTAGATCAGCGATGTTCCATCCCAAAACCCCCGAGCAGCGTGCTTTCATGGTAGAGCGCTACTGCGAGTCATCATGCATTTCGTTGTCGATGATGCTACAGCGGCGGCGGCGGCGGTAGAGACTATATTATTGGGAGGAGACGTCAATAAACAAACATCGACAAACAACAACAAATGACCGACCTCTGCAGATAGGTATGCATATAGACACCCAATTCAAGTGTATAGGTATGCATGTAGTCAGATAGGTAGTCGGAGGATTCTCAAGATTTGGAATATCCCCAATCATGATGTAGCTGACCCCCCTTCCATCCCCCCCTCCGCTTTGGGAGGACTTCCCACATAGGTGGTCTGTCTGCCCATTCGACGAGTCAGTCGATCCAGATACGGTAGCACTGCCGGGCCGTGGGTATTCCGGTGGCTACCTAACCTAGACCCAGGAAAGCTTCTCATTTGGCGGGATGGGCAGTTGACGCATCTCGGTGCAGATATAATGGATGGGGGGTCAACCATCGGCACTGTGGATGCCGTGCTCTATTCCTCTTCGACCAAGACATCCCATCTTGAAACCTAAAGAGGTTAAATGACTAGGGGTAGCCGTGAGAAGAGCCTGGTGCTATCAATGAACGTTAGCTTATTTGTCTTGATATAGCTGGAGACCATTGCTGTCGTCGTGCTAGTAAGCGAAGCGGAAGCTATCTTATGACTGACCAACTGGGTTTAAGAACTTACGACTTCGCGATCGACAGACAATTGGATCTACCTCATCCTAGTCTTCTCCATCTTACCTTTACCCTTCCGTCAAGTCCCTAGACCATACACAGGTAGCTTCTACCTTACCTACCCCATACACAGTCCACGTGAGCATAGCGGCGACAACTGCAGCATGGAGATGAGATGGATGCTACTCCGTTTCCACAGTACTTCCCGCGCTCTTCTCACCGCACGCGCTAATAATAGCCAACAGTACCCAAATCGAGCAGAACATCGTCCGAACGAGGGCTATTGCCAATCGTAATATTGCCTGCTCTGCTCTGCTCTGTTCTACTCTCTCGGGACGGAGTTGCGTAGCTGCGTCGTCAGCCGGTTTGGGACCTGACGCGATGAAAATTCCAATCCCAAGTAGGCAAAAGCAAAGCAACCCTCCCCCACGGGGGATAAGGGAGGAAACGAGCGAGGGCGTTTAGATGTCACGTCGTTGCATTGCTTGATTAGGCCAGCGGCTGGAGCGCGTGTGGGCGCGAATCACACGCTGGCCAACGACTTAGCCGTCTGGCGCGCGGGTATTTTTCCTAAGTCGACCCTTTCCCTTCCTTTTCTCATCGACGGCCTCCTCCCCTGGCTACCTACCTACTCGCATATTATATCCTCTTGCACTGCGCAGTGGAAATTGGGAATGCGTACTTACATACAGATTTTAGATTAGGTATGTTAGGAGGTAGGTACATAAGGTAAGAGGTAAGTAAGTAAGTAAGTATTGTACCTAACCTGGGTAGGTAGCTGCGCTAGGTCGCACACCTAGGCGGCCGTGTATCGCGCCTCCCTGCCCTGCCCTGCCCTGCCCTGCCCAAGTTCGGGCAAGCAAGAGCAGTGGACATTCAACTTATTCTTGGTTCCGGGGTCACTCGACCCCCGAACCCAAAACCCAATTCTCAAAGTGCAACTCGAGGCGAAGCTAGGAGGTAGCTAACTTCCTTTCCTATTCTTCTCTCCGTCTACCTGCTCAACCCACATACCTACCTACCTAGGTACCTAGCATACCTAGCATACCATACCATACCATACCGGCCACTCCAAGTCATTCATTCCCTGCCGTGCGACACGACGCGCAAAATGCCCTAAATTAAACTCATCGCTGCTTACCTACATACCTCCTACCCAGGGTACTACCACTTACCGCAGCTAACTGCTCAATCCCGAGCGTCGAAGCTGTCGTGCCGACATTCTCGAGCCCTTGCCCGTGTCACCGTCACCCACCCCCTCGACGAATCATCAATTCTCCGATCCCCCTCGCGGGATTGATTGGGCGGAATCCCCCGTAGGTCGTCGCAGTGCCTAGCTAATAAATATACAATAAATAAATAGGTAAGGCAATACGAACGCCCTGGGCGTATGTAGTAGCGGAAAAGAACTGATACCTATATGCATGCATGTATGTATGTATGTATGTATTAAAACGCGCCTAACTACCTAATCTAACCTAACCTAACCTGGTAGACTTTCCCTTTCTCTGGCGTCTCTGCATGAGGCTTCAACGGGTCGTAATATTGCATATAACCAACCCTAGCCACGCCGAGCTGACTGTCCTCTCGGGAAGAAAAAAAAAGCTCAAGTACCTAAGAAGGTAGTGTCACGAATCCACGACGGGAGATGAGACGATCGTTATGTTATGTTATGTTATAATGCTTTGTAACTCAGCCGTATGGTATGTAAAATCAATATAAAAATAAAAACTCCTAGTCTTCTTGTTTGTCTCCGAAACTCTAGACGCCTTATCCCCTTTTTTCACATGGTATCTATTGTATTGTACAGGGCTTCATGCGTATTCCCCTAAATGACGATGATGACGATGATGATGACGATGTTGATGTTGATGATGATAATGACGACAGAAAATTTGTTTGTGTTTGTCCGGCGCGTCCAGAAACTCCAGGTCCTCTTTTTCCCGAACCTATTTCTCCATACCGTAGAAATAAATGCTTTTTAAACCCGTCTGTCTTCATGACCCTCGCCCCCCCCCCTCCTAAATGTAAATGTATGCAGGTGGATGGTTTAGTACAGATGATGAGAGCTATTAGTTACATTGAAATTCCAGATGAAAAATCGTGGTTGAACCGCATCGTATCCTAGATTGTGCTTTGCTTTGCTTTGTTTTGCTTTGCTGTGCTGTGCTGTGTTTGTTGAATAGGTATGCTAAGAATCCTCGTGGCGCTCGTAATATCGCTTTTTTTGTCCCAGCCAAGACTTATACGGCAATTTTGAGGGGGGAAGCAAACCAATCCCCCTCTCTTGCTGGTTAAATCATAGCGCACTAAAAAAAATATTGTCCCATGATAATCTTGAGCAACAAATCGATATTGTCGTGAGAGTAGGGCTCACGCTTCCAGAGATTGGTTAAAAAAAAGAATTGTTGTCCTTAGAACCCGCCCCCAGAGGCTGAAATACGGACGGACTTCCAATAACCATAACACGCATGTCCTTTAATCATTTTCTCGTCCGGGTCCCCCTGATCCCATCCCTGTCGCTCCACCACGCGACCTTTCATCCGACGTCGCCGGCGAATTTCGTCGCTCGTGCTCGCTCTGCTGCGCTCTCATTTCCGACGCGTATCGTGGTGAAGGCTGATCTGCTAATAACGACGAAACCGTGTGTGCGCCGCTCCTAGATTGTTGCGACGGTTCGCCTAACCCGCTTTCTCTTGACGGGCCAAGGCCAGGTGAAAGTCCCCGATGCGGACCAAATGGTTCAATTCGTCCGCGTCCCGTAGACCGGTAAGACGAGACGTCGCTTCTTTGTCGCGAATGACCTCGCCGTCGACCGGGAGGCGGATTTGATAATGTCGAAGATCCGCCATGCTGACCGAAAGGCGGAGATCTGAATCGCGTTTGGCTCGGCGGAGGCGGCGCCTGCTGGGGACCCGTCGCTTTTCGTTTCTTGGGCGATTCTACTAATTGCCGAGAGGCAACATTAGCCAGACATGTTTCTACCTGCTCGTTTTGGATTTTGACAAACCAGAAGGCGTTCCTGGCTGATTAGAGCCTCCTTGCGTGGTCGGGGGTTGCCAATGGTGAAAATATATCGACGGCGACTGAGTATCTTGTTGCGGTTGTTGTTGCTGCTGTTGTTGCTGCTGCTGCTGTGCGAGCGCGTGTGCCGGGTGAGACATTCCTGGAGGTCCAACAGCCCCTTCTCCTGTACTTAGTCGCGGAAGAGCCGAACTCCCCAGGGGCCTTCCTATAGCTCCGCCCATACTTAACGTATGCGCTCTGTGTCTTGGTGAGCTAGGCCCTTGGTAGGGAACAAAACTCGCTTGAGCACCTGGCGCTGACCCTGGTGTCGACGGGACACCATACTGCTGCCCCCCGTACTGTTGGGACTCTCTTCGAGCCTCCGGCGATAAAGCCCCCTGGGCTGGCATAATCTGCGCTGCGTGCGCTTGCTGCGGTATCAAATACTGTTGCGCCCATTCGAGGGCCACCTGCGGTAGCGTTCCGCCACTCATTCCTGCGAAAACAACTGGCACCATCGGCGGTGGTATACCCCGATCTAAAGACGTTTGGAGCATGTTATACTCCAGTTTTCTCTGTTCCAAACGTAACGTTTCCTGCCGCGTCTTTTCTTCTTCCTGTTTCCTCTTCTCTTCTTCAGTTTTAGCCGCCAACCAGCTTCTCATTGCGTCTTCAGAGCCCTGATGTTGAGGAGGCGCTGGTAACGAACCAAGTGCCTGGTTATGCGGAGAAGGAGCTGGCGCTCCCTGAGAATGTAAAGGTGGTCCCGGAGCTGGTTGGTGAGGTGGACCAGGAGCCGGCGGCGGCGGTTGAGCTAGTGTCATGGCTGCCGGGAGAGGCAGGCCACGATGAGGTGCTGACATGGGCTTGGTAGATGGGCTCTGATTCTGCGGGAGAGCTACAAACGACTTCTGTAAAGAGTCCTGAACACTCAAGGGGGGCGAGGATCGAGGCGGCGTCGGTAGATCATGGACAGGCCGGTACCCGTGTTGAACTGGCTGCTTGGCTGTGAGCATCATCTCGATAGAAGACATAAAGAGGAACTAGACGGCAGCGTGGGGACGCATGTCAAGGGCTGAGGGTTAGAAAGAAGCAAGGTGGCAGAAGACGGTGGTGGCAGTGGCAGTGACAGTGGCAGTGGTGATGATGGTAGTGGTGGTAGTGGTGGTGTATACGGAACAAGAGGTGGTGAATAACCTTTGCATAAGAAAGTTGGATGGGACGGCCAACTTAGTAGAGAGGGGACAGGATACGATCGGGGTTTGTGGAACTGTTGGATCCCAAAGCCCAGCCTCATTTGAAGGTCGATGCCAAACACATGGGTAGTAATTCGAAAAGGATCAACTGGGGGGGAACTGTAGTAGTTGTTGCGTGGTATTTTGGGCGTAGTAACTGGACATGCGCCGACACAGCAGCAGTCGAAGGACCCTGGCCGTCTATGGGAGGATCGATGCCCAAGGCAGCTCTAGGTGTCGGGAAGCACCAAGTAGGAAGATCTTGGAACGGGACGATATTGTGAGCTGATAGACTAGTTTCTACCACTTGTAGCCGATTTAGGCAATGCCCGAAGCGGAAAGTAAACGTCGTTCTGGGTGTGGAGTAAAAACGAGGGCCTGGCTTATCTGAAAGTAGTATGCGTACGCACGTATCTAGAAGATTTCATACAAGAAGCTTGTAGAAGACCGGATAGCAAGGAATGAGACTATTTGGGGATAAGGAATTTAGAAAGCTGGACCGAACAGGATAGCTCAGTAGACCGATTTACGTAAAGCTAGTAGTGATAACCGTCCGAGTCAGCAAAAGGAAGCACTCGCTGTCAAAGAGAGTGTGGTCCAGACATGTTAGGATTGGGGGGGTTAAGGAAGCGTTGGTAACAAAGTTAAGTTGTTGAGTGGTCAAATATTTGTCAGGTTCGAGAATATAATAAGAAACTCGAGGCAGGAAGAGAAAGCTGACTAGCAACAACCTCGAGAAGAACTAGAGTGTCTAGCTACGGAATGTTAGCTCGAAGTAGAAGTTGAAGAGTGGCTGAAGAGTTAATGAGGCGTGCCCGGGGGTAGACGAGGAGGGGAGGGGAAGCCTTCTTTTCACACCACCGTAGTGACGAGGCTGATCGAGTTGGTAAGTACAGATTCAAAAATCAACCTGGCCTGTCCTTGCTCTCTGTTAAATTTTTTTTTTCTTCTTTCCTCTTTTCACTCTTCTCTTCCAGGGTTAACAGGCCCTTGTCTTTCATGGTAGGGCAGGGTTACTGGTCCGATCTTGGGACGGGAGTGTTTATAGGGCTAGTGAGGTATCTTTTGGCAGTAGGACCTCGTTTATAGTACATTATAAATACGTAGTAGCAGAGAGACTTGACCTACCCCGTTTCGAACTCGAGTATCGAAGGAAGGGCACAAACCGGGGGTAAAAAGAGTTACCATGCAGGGTCGATCCTCGACGTCGGAAAAAAGAATGTGAAGGAGGATGCAAGAGTGACGAACGAATCAACGAGTAGTGGGGGTGTGGAAGTATTAGCAAAGCGGCTACCTAGCAGCCAGCTTGCCTTAAGTAAGTATGGTGCTTTGCTTGCTTGACTAAGTAACAGTGTGAGGGAGAAAGTAGAAAAGAGAGAATGTGGATGGATTGAAGAGTGGAGTCTAAGAACAAGACTGCACGGCGCATATGTGGGCAGATGGGACGAAAACTAATAAACAGACGCTTTTCTGCTGTAAGACGTGTCAAGAAGAGTTCGAAACTGGGGATAGGACGGCGCAGGAGAATTCTCGCGAGAAGATCTAGAACCCGGAAGATCCTATTTTCTTCTTTTTTTTTCTCTATTTTTTTTCTTCTTCTCTTCTTAAGAAAGTGGCGCTTTGTAAGTGGGTGTTTTTACTGTAGGTAAACCATTAGGTATGTATATGTAAATCTATAATCGATACACGGGACGGATATAGGCAATATGTACGTAGGAAAAAAAAGCTGCTATGTATAAATATTATAATATGTATTCTACCACGTATACCTTGTAATTTTCTGTTGTGAATGGCGAGGGTATGTACTATGTGAGGTATGATATATGTAGGAAATGTATGTAGGAAGGGAAACTCGGCAGAGACCGTTGGTACTAAGCACTCGAATAAAGTCGAAAGGGGCAAGTACATTACGGTATGTACATTCCAGGCTTGGAAATAGTAGCGTCAGCAGCTGAAAAGTGGAGTTCAATCAATCGCTTGAAGTAGACGAGTTATGTACTTAGTTACATACAACCCGTGAAGCACGCCTAGACCTGATAGAGAAGAGCCCAGGGTTTACGGGCTGAGTGGAAGAATACAATACTAATACATAAGGTAACAATAATGTTCCCGTGTCGATGTTAGGTACTGCTATGGTTAATAAAAGTCCTAGCAGGAGGCCGCTTGTCCAGCCGAAAAAAAACCCACAAGCGCTTCTCGAGTCATGTTGCGGGAAGGGATTGAGAGGAGTAGTGCATCAGACAGATTATGTACGAATATGTACTTAGCTGATATCCCTGGTCCCTTAGGGAAAGCCTGGTAGAAGTCTTCGTAAATACCTAAATACCTAACTAACAGGTATGCTGTTGTTTGTTCTTGTCTGTCTATCTGTCTCTCTGGGTGGGTGCGTATGTGCGTGTGGCTATGTAAACATCTCTACGGACTACATAAGTAGTATACATTTACAGCATACATCATGTACAAGTCGAATCTCCCAAGTAGTGTTAGCGTAGCAAGAGTACTGTATGCATTATACAATGCGAAACCGTGAGGAGCTCTTCAGTTTATAAGTATCCTATACTGTGCGTTACTGTACGGAATCGTCGCCGGGTCTTCCAGTCTAGCATACATATGCAGGCATATATGTACCGACGGATGTATATACGTAAGTGTAAGTAGTCTGCATGGGGAGAAGGGCCTCGACAAGAATGATAGATGTGAGATGGCTAAGTATGCAACGAGTTTCAATCCCACTTAGTGTATCAGGGTATGATATATGTATGTCGTTTGGGAATTATGCGCAATGTAACATACCTATATACCCTACCTCAGAGATTATACACATGCGTATGCGTATAGAGATTGCTATACTAGTGTGTAGTGTGTGATTCTATATCGAAATGCTACGCGTGTAGCGGACCTTTACGAAGATATCGTACAATACCAACTGACGTACTTACAGTATGATGCCCATACAGCAACATAGCCAGCATAGTGTACTATGTAGACAAGCAAGAAAAACAAGTATGATGCACCATGGCGGGGTCTACCATTATACCTCATAACAAGGGGCTCGTCTTGTCCTGTAACCAACCCGTGCTATGTAAGATTCCCAACAGTGTCAGCTGTAAATACATATTCCCGATCTCGCAATCGTGTGAATTATGTGAATAACGCGCACGCGCAACGGGGACAAACAATCCTAGCAAGCTTGGCAGCTGACTTCCTCTTTGGAAGATCAACATTTTTACCTAGAGTCAGTCTAGGTTAGGTAGGTAAGAAAATACGAACAACAGTAATACATACCTATACATACTTTGAGGTTTCTGCGGCCGCGTGGCTACCGATATTGGGTATTGCGTCCCTTGCCTAGGGGGAAAAAGGTACCTATCTCCTGAGGGGGTTTTTCTGACCTGACGAAGATTCCATTTTCATACATAATGCCTAGGAGCGCCGTGTCTCGGGACCGACGGCTCAACTGTACATGACATAAAGTATCCTAAGTAACTTCGGTTATGTTGGATAATACCTAAACCAAGTTGGCTTTGGCTTCGCGGAAAGTAGAAAGTAGAAAAGCGGCTGGGCAATTGGGCAATTGGGCAATGGGAACGAAGTTGGTCAGCCAGTAGCCAGTAGAAGGAAAGACGGGCTAGACATCGTATTGTTTCGCCTTCTCGCAGCCCTTGTCGGCAATGTTTCAAGATCAACCCGATTAGGCAAGTCGATCTCTCATATTTAGACGTTTCAACTAAGGCGGAAAACTGGGGGTTCGGGGAATTGAAGGAGCACTGCAATAGGGTAGCAGGGACTTCGTCACATATGTACCTTATGAGGTACATATATATAAGGCACATAAGGTAAGGTAGTATAAATATAAATCACCTAGGTACCGTAATTTTCCAGAATCACTCTGCCGGGTCAGCGCCGACCAGCTGGGGAATGGGGAACGGGGAATGAGGATGACCTCATCTAAATCCGACTTGCGAAATGCCAAATATAATATGTATGTAGAGTACCGTCGACAAGTTGCTCATCATCCTCATCACGCTCCTGAAACATTCCATCGTATGTATAATTTGACCATGTATCTACGACAAGGGTTTCGGATTGCGAAAGACTTAGAGGGGACTGGAGGGGTCGACAAATTATGTCGAAATAGGGAAAGACATCGAAGTTGCGAAGATTGTGACTGGAGGAGCGTTTAGGGCGAGTTCGACGGGAGGGGCTGCGGAGTTAGTCCAAGGAGGGGCAGACCATCCGCAGTAGGTAATAACTAGTGGTATACATCAGTACATGTATTGTACGCTAGTGTACACTACCGCACATGTGCTTTTACGCTAAAAGCTACACTAAAACATGTACCTAACCCCGGTATTTGCACTAATGTACGGATCCGTACACTTCCAACCTTAGATATACGTAGGGTTACATGCTGAATACATATATAAGGTAATATACAGACCAACGCTTATTCGTACGATGTGCTCGCCTATTTTTCCTTTCATGTCGTATTCTCTTAAGCTTATTTAGGTTTTATTGCATCCATCTCGGCCTCGAAGGACATAACATACATACCTACATATTTATTCGCGAACTCGCGTGTAGTAGCCCGTAGTATTCGTAGTAGTATTATTCTTAGGTAAGGTATTATCAAAGCAGGACCGGTCAACTTTCAAGATACAACCTTGTAAAAATCGACCTTATGGTCAGTCCTTGTGGCCAGTTCTTGCAAGCCTCACAATTCTCCTTGTATTACACGTAACACCCTGTGTACTGTAAGCCGGCCCTGGACACTTTCGCCTCAGCCCGGTTTTTGACTT